TGGCAAGAGACCAAGGGAAGACCCCCGTCCCATCCAGGCAGGGAGTCGTGTTGAATCCTGGGAAAGAGCGGTGCCAGAGGTCCTGCATCAGGACACCGTGACCTTAGATGTCCATTGCCAGCGCTTCCGGCAGTTCCGCTACCATGAGGCTGCTGGGCCTCGAGAGGTTTGCAGCCAGCTCCATGGACTCTGCCACCACTGGCTGGAGCCGGAGAGGCACACCAAGAAGCAGATGCTGGACCTGGTGATCCTAGAGCAGTTCCTGACTCTCCTGCCCCAGGAAATGCAGGGCTGGGTCAGAGGATGTGGGCCGGAGACCAGTTCCCAGGCGGTGGCCCTGGCCGAAGGTTTCCTCCTGAGTCAGGCAGAGGAGAAGAGGCAGGCAGGACAGGTGAGGGAGCTTCATGCGGTCCATTCAAGCTGTGATCTCCAACCTTAGCCTACGGCCTCCCTGCCCAGTATGTATCCCTCCAGATACTTCACCAGGGTTGTTAGAAAACCACAACCCTGATCCCTGCTGCTGCGGTTGAAGCAGCTCTGTTGATCAAGACAGGGGTGAGGATGGGGATGGGGCAGGATTTTCCTCCATTATCTTTAGCATTCCTCCTCTGACCTGTCTCTCTTACTGCTGTTTCAGATGTGGGGAACGCCTGTAAAGATGGAAGCAAAGTTCTCTGAGGAGGGAGGATCTCCTTCGGAGGAGGAGCAGTGGGTGCAAGCCCCGGAGCATGCCCAGGATGCCCTCTCACGTGGTAAGGGTGCCTTGTGCCCAAATCTGGGCACATCGTAAAATTATGGGATAGAAGGTTCAGGAGAGGAGAAAAAAGAGTGGACTTCTGAGACTCAGTGCCATGGTAGCCACCACTTGAAGGGAGAATTATACAGATTTGTGGAGGGCAATTCCATTCTCATTAGGACATAAGAACAGAAGAGAAGCCATTTTGGATCAGTCCAGTGGACCATCTAGTCCAACACTCTGTGGCCAAAACACAGGGGCCATGAGGAGTTCCACCAGCAAGACCAGAGCTCCTAAACCCCTCCTGCTATTGCCTCATAAGCACAAAGAATACAGAGCATCACTGCCCCAGACAGAGTGTTCCACCTATACCTTGTGGTTCAATAAATCCCCTCTTGAAGCTGCCACCACTTCCTGTGGCAGGGAATTCCATGTGTTAACTAAAATATTCCCATCTCACATACCTTCCGTTAGAGAAACTCAAGGTGGCTCAAAAAAGGAAAGTTACCCCGGCATCCCTGGGAACTTTGGGGGTGGGGCCAGAGAAGGATATGGTTGTCATGGTGATGTCTCATCCTGCTGAAAATCTAGACCTGTGACATCAGAGCATCAGCAGACAGTCTAGAAACTCCTTGATATTATCCTAGATTTTTCAGAGGTGCTAATGTCACGTCTGGGTTTTTGGACAGATGAGATTCTGACCTATAGTTTGACCTCCCTTTTCCTGGAAGCTCAGACTCAAGGAAACATGTGAGGGCCCAGTCGGTGGGAGATTGGCGCGTTGGGGCCTTTGGTCTGATTGAGCATAGATGTTGTCACTGTTTTGAGCTCTGGGGTTCACAGGATAAGTTCCAAGTGTCACAGAAATCTGAAATGTGTTGGTAGTGTGTTTATACCTCCCCACCATCACCTCCACCACCAAGGCTGATAGGAACCTGGTGCTTCTCTTCCACCTCTCCCTCGAGTTTACTCACAGTTGTTACACATTTTCTCGAGTGTACACAGGGCAAGGTTTCACAGCCATGGGAACAGGGGTGCATGAAGCAGGATTCAAGCAGAAAATAGAAGATTGTCCAACTCTTGAGAAGTGTGTAGACAAAATGCAAGCATATGCTGCTATGGCAAAACTGACTAACTTCATTAATCAGAGACTGAAAGGCGAATTTGAAAATAACTGGCAAGTTTTCTATGATTACTATAACCAATCTTTGTAGTCATGTGGTTGAATGGTTTATATTATATGAAAGTTGCAGTATGAAATAGTAAAGATGTTTTATTCCATATGATTCTTGTCACAACAAAGTGTTATGTTAAAATGATATACAAATTTTTATGAGGTTGTCCATGTTTTATCATGTAACTGATAAGATTGATAATTTATTTATTGATTTATTTCATTGTATTTATACCCCGCCCTCCCCACGAACGGGCTCAGGTAAGATAGAAATGTTAATATATTATGGGGTGGCCAAGCTGTGGCGCGGGAGCCGCATGTGGCTCTTTCACACATAAGAGAAGCCAATGTTGGATCAGGCCAATGGCCCATCCCGTCCAACACTCACTCTGTGTCACACAGTGGCCAGAAATACCAGCTGCCACCAGGAGGTCCAGCAGTGGGGCCAGGACATTAGAAGCCCTCCCACTGGGTGGCTGGGGAAGCAAAGGGGAGGCATGGCTCCCCGATTGGTCTTCCCTTCCCCAGCCAGTGTTTCCCTCCCTGGGTAGGCTTGGGGGGGGGGGCAGAGAAAGAAAGCAACTTAAATTTTAAATGCATTCTAAAAGCCCTCCTCCACCAGCCAGCTTGGACAAGGCATTTGTCTCTTTCTTTCCACCTTTCTCTCTGTCTTTTCCCCTTCCTTCCTTCCTCTCCCTCCCTCAACTATTTGCTTTCTTTCTTTCTCTCTCTCTTCCCCTTCCTTCCTTCCTTCCTCTCCCTCCCTCAACTATTTGCTTTCTTTCTTTCTCTCTCTCTCTCTCTCTCTTCCTCCCTCTTTTCATTTCCCTCCCCCCATCAGTTTGCCTTCTTTGTTTTTCTCTCTCTTTCTCTCTCTCTTCCCCTTCCTTCCTCATTCCCCCTTTTGTATGTCATATATTTCCCCTAAAACTTTATGTATTTGAATCAAGGATTATCCTTTATATTTGCAAAAGGTGCCCTTTATAATGTGGTTTGGTAATTTTACCTTTTATTCTTTTCTCTCACCCCTTTTCTTTATTCTGTATTCCTTTAAAAATTCCAAAAACATTATTATTATTTTTTAAAAAGAAGCAGGATTCAAAGAAGCAAACAACATACAAAGTCTAGGCTAACCCCCATTCTTCCAATGTTCTCTCCCTCACAGGCAGTGATGAAATGGTATCGAGCAGTCATCCTTGTGGAAAAGTGGAAACATCTGCTTCCCCTGCAGTCCAGGTAGGGGAGATGAGCAGGGGACCGCCTGAGTCCCCCCTTCTTTCTCGTGGGCTTTTGCTCCTGCCGTTTCTTCTGTGGTGTCCGAGCGAGAGAGGCTCTGAGTGCCACTCCCTTGACCGCTGCCATGCTCTCCATCCCGGGCATCCCAGAATGCCCCTTTCCAGAGGGCAGTCTTGCTCGGCATGATCTCTGATGAGGAAATCTGCTTTTTCTTTCAGTCTCCAGCTTCCTTTGAGGACGTGGCTGTATATTTCACCGAGGCAGAATGGGCCCTGTTGGATCCAGGCCAAAGAGCTCTCTACTTGGAAGTCATGCTGGACAACTATGGGAACGTGGCCTCTCTGGGTAAGGATCTCTGCCAAAGGTGTGAATGACTGCCATTGCGATGATGTGTGAATCAAAATATTGAGCAGCAGTATGTCATTCTGAGGCTTGGGCCTGTAATCACGGCCCCCCGGGAGGACTCCAGGAGTCGAGGTGGCAGTGAAAGCAGCTGAAACACCTGGCTGGTTCAGGGGCAACTGTGGCCAGTGTTGTGGCCAGCGTGAGAGGCAGGGTGGGAGTCACGGACTGAGGTGGAGACAGACAAAGGCCTTGTGTGACTCTTCCTCCACTTTTCTCTCTCCCAAAGAAGGCACAGATGTACGAAAGACTGACGTAGACACAGACGGAGAAGTGGAGAGTTCCTCAACAGGATCTCAAGAAAATATTTCCTTACTGAGTGAATGGGCTGGAAGTGAGTGTGCTTCATCCTTCTGTCAAGGGAAGGGGCAGAAAACAGCCATGGTGGATTTCTGCTTCACTTCTAAGGAGCTCTGGGTTGGGAAGAATTACAAAGCTTTCTGGGTAAGGAGGGAGGGGTCCTGAAATCTTGGGAATTCTTCCTGGGGCTGAGCCTTTAGGAGTTCCATTGTCTTTAAATACCGGATATCCCAGGGAGCGGTGAGGTATTTACTTCAGAACAGCATTGCTGGATGAGTTTGTCTCCCGTAGTCAGCTACATGTCTCTAGGCCAGTTCAGCAAGGGATCCTGGAAGTTTTTTTCTCATCTTCTGGGCGTTGAACTGCGGTCACTGTGGGTTTGGAGGGGGGGGAGGTATTTGTGAATTTCCTGCATTGTGAAGGGAGTTGGACTAGATGACCCAGGAGGTCCCTTCCAACACTATGCTTCTATGATTCTAGGCCTCCCGCCCCCAACAACTGGCATTTCTTTCAAAAAACAGGGAGTTCCCTTAGAACTGGGGTTCGCTTGGTGAGGTCCAGATTCCCCCCCTTAGCCAAGCAGTCATGTGTTACTGGAGCCTGAAGACCAGCTCCTCTTCTGTCTCATCACATCTGGAAGGAAACTCTGTACAGTCACAAAACTAGAAATCAATGTCACTTTTTGTATTTCATCATCAAAAGACCTGCTTGCCAAGGCAACTGGGAAGGGCAAAGGAACAAATCTTTGCCACTTTTCTCTTAACGGATTTTTGGGGCGTTTTGTAGAGGGAAGGGATAGTCAGAATATAAAAACAGGTCTACTGGAGGGCTGGCCAGGGAAAGGTTGCAACCTGCAGCTTTGGAGACAAAATGCACACTAATGAATCAGGATTGGTAGCTTCGCTTATTGTGTGGGTGGTAACAGGAACTCCCTCTTTATTCCAGCAGGAGATGTCGAGGAGTCAGTTGAGGAATTTCAGAGGTTCTCACTGGAAAAAGCCAAGAATGAACAGGCTGAAGGAAACGTCATGAATAGACATGGACCACAGAGGCAGGAAGGAAGCCATTCAGTGAAGAGAGGGGTTAAGTCCATTTTTTGCAGAGGAGGGGGCTTCCATGAAATCCCAGTCCACAGCTGTCACCAGTGGACTCATTCAGGGGTGAAGCCATCTATCTGCTCTAAGACTGGAATGATGTTCTCCAGTGGAAGAAAGGGTAATGTATTTTTTCCAAACCACATTATAATGAAGGCATGTAAATGCTTTTATTGTAGAAAGTACTTCAGATACAGAACACAGTTTCTTGTACACCAAAGAATAAACACAGCAGAGAAGGTTTTTGAATGCTCAGAGTGTGGTAAGAAATTCAGTACGAATTCCACTCTTCAAAAGCACGAAAGAAAGCACACGGGTAAGAAATCATTTGAAAGCTCGGAGTGTGGAAAGAGATTCAGTCACATTCACAGTCTTCAACGGCATCAAAAAACCCACACGGGGGAGAAACCATTTGAATGCTCAGAGGGTGGAAAGAGATTCAGTCGGAGTAGCCATCTTCAACAGCATCAAAGAATCCACACAGGGGAGAAACCATTTGAATGCTCAGAGGGTGGAAAGAGATTCAGTCGGAGTAGCCATCTTCAACAGCATCAAAGAATCCACACAGGGGAGAAACCATTTGAATGCTCAGAGGGTGGAAAGAGATTCAGTCGGAGTAGCCATCTTCAACAGCATCAAAGAATCCACACAGGGGAGAAACCATTTGAATGCTCAGAGGGTGGAAAGAGATTCAGTGAGAGTTGCAGTTTTCAGTGGCATCAGAGAACCCACACAGGGGAGAAACTCTTTGAATGCTTACAGTGTGGGAAGAAATTCAGTCAGAGTTGTCATCTTCAACTGCACCAAAGAAACCACACAGGGGAGAGATCTTTTGAATGCTCAGAGTGTGGAAAGAAATTTGGTAAGCGTGACAATCTTCGAAAGCATCGGAGAACCCACAAAGCAGACAAGGCCTTTGAATGCTCAGAGTGTGGAAAGAGATTCAGTCAGAGTGGCAATCTTCAACAGCATCAAAGAATCCACACAGGGGAGAAACCTTTTGAATGCTCAGAGTGTGGAAAGAGATTCAGTGGGAGTGGCACTCTTCAAAGGCATCAAAGAACCCACACAGGGGAGAAACCTTTTGAATGCTCAGAGTGTGGAAAGAGATTCAGTGGGAGTGGCACTCTTCAAAGGCATCAAAGAACCCACACAGGGGAGAAACCTTTTGAATGCTCAGAGTGTGGAAAGAGATTCAGTGGGAGTGGCACTCTTCAAAGGCATCAAAGAACCCACACAGGGGAGAAACCTTTTGAATGCTCAGAGTGTGGAAAGAGATTCAGTGGGAGTGGCACTCTTCAAAGGCATCAAAGAACCCACACAGGGGAGAAACCTTTTGAATGCTCAGAGTGTGGAAAGAAATTCAGTCAGAATGCCTGTCTGCAACAGCATCAGAGAACCCACACAGGGGAGAAACCTTTTGAGTGCTCAGAATGTGGAAAGAGATTCAGTTGGAGTGGCACTCTTCAGAGGCATCAAAGAATCCACAAAGAGGAGAATCATTTTGAATGCTCAGAGAACAGAATAAATTCAGTCAGAGGGCAGCTCTTGAACGGCACCTAGGAATTCACAGAGGAGAGAAACCTTTTAAATGTCCAGGGTGTGGACAGAGATTCAACAGCATCTAAGAATTCTTGTACTGTGGAAGAGCTTTAGCCATGATTGAAGACTGAACTAGATCTCACAGGGAGGAAAACCAGAATGTGCCCTCAGGGTGGAAGGATTTCAAGACCAGCTCATATCTCCTGAAGCAGTGATGAGTCCATACAGGGGAGGAACCTCATAAATGGTAACACTGTGTCAAGAGCTTTAGACAGAGGTCCTTCCTTCCTGTTTCTCAGAGAATCCCTGCAAGGATGAAACTTTCCATAATTGGTTCAGATGAGGCTCTTCTTCAAATGCTCGGATACTGGAGATTTACAAAGTAGTTAACTTTGAGTGGTTGCCATCCTTTTCGAAACTCATTACTTCAGAGTATCTGCCAAGCTAACGCTTTCTGACATTATGTAAGACTGGCAAAAACATTTCTGTTTTCCAAATCCTGTGCAGCGATATGCAAACTGAGGATGGTAGATACCAAAGAGTAAAGCTTTCCCTTGCTTGAAAGCCAGTCGAATCCAACTCTAGGGGGCAGTGTTCATCTCTATTTCCAAGCTGAAGAGCCAGCACTGTCCAAAGAGTTTTCCGTGGTCATGTGGCCCGCATGTCTAAATGCCAAGGCGCACGGAACACTGTTACCTTCCCACCGAAGTGGTACCTATTTATCTACTTCAGTTTTTTGCTATCGAACTGCTAGGTTGGCAGGAGCTGGGGCCAGAGACAGGAGCTCACTTTTGTCACATGGCACTAGGTTTTCGTACTGCCGACCTACTGCCCTTCCGATCTGCAACTCAGCACGTTTAACCTCTGAGCAACTGCAGCCCCTTTTTTATTTACATAAGAGAGCATCCCTAATTTACAAACTGTTTCTTTCTGACCCTGTGAACCAGAAACAACCAGGACTAAGCCATGAGCCAAGACTTACTCCCCACCTCTGACTCCTCATGACCCCCCTTGAATTCCTCCATTGAGATTGTGTGTTCTTTGAGCAGAGTGAGAAAATTGATATTTTTTTTGTCTAACTACTTTAGTTTGGAAAAGTGTCGGCGTTAGAGTGGCCAGCAGGCCTAAAGGGTGTGTGTGTATTTTGCTCCTCTGATAGAGGCTTAGTGTGTGGAAATAGGCAGCTGAAATGGTAAATAACATCCCAGACATGAAATGGTAAATAACGTCCTCCCTTCCAAGCCATTGCCAGCCCATCATTAAGGGTTTCTTTATCTGTCGGAAGGAGGGGGGGAAAAACAACCTCAGCTAAGGAAGGGCCATAGCTCTTTAAAATAAGTGGATGCCCCATATTTCCCACCCCATGCATAAAAAGGATTAGGGTTTTTCCCAATTCGCTTCATTGACATTTACTATAGCCACTATTGATAAATATTACAGCCACTATTAATATGTCAGAAGAGTTACATAAGAACATAAGAGACGCCAACGTTGGATCAGGCCAAAGGCCCATCCAGTCCAACACTCTATCACACAGTGGCCAGAAATACCAGGTGCCATCAGGAGGTCCACCAGTGGAGCCAGGACATTAGAAGCCCTCCCACTGTTGACCCCCCCCAAGTAATGTTCCCTCTAAGCTGTGGAGTCTTGTGAGCAAAAAATCTACTTTGTGAGCTCCTGGCATTAAAGTTGTGAGCAAGCAATTTGGCTACAACATAAACTAGTTTGCTCTGGAGCCATACTTCCTGAGCTAGGACAAAAATGTGTGAGATGGAGGTTAAAAAACTGTGAGCTAGCTCACACTAACTCAGCTTAGAGGGAACACTGCCCCCAAGCACCAAGAAGACAGAGCATCACTTGCCCCAGAGTCCCTATCTATACCTTGTGGCTAATAGCCACTGATAGACCTCTGCTCCATATGCTTCTCTAATTCCCTTTTGAAGCCGTCCATGCTTGTAGCCGCCACCATTTCCTGTGGCAGTGAATTCCATGTGTTAATCACTCTTTGGGTGAAGAAGTACTTCCTTTTATCCGTTCTAACCCAAGTTAGGATATTTTGGATGTTTTACAGAGCTAATTTTAGTTTAAGGGGGCTAAATTGGGTGGGTATGTAGAAGACCCGAAGTGCACAAGCTGTGATTTCTGTCATCCTTTCATTGGTAGGTGGGGGAGCACCCTGATCTTGATGTTTTACTGAAGGATACGCTTTCTGAAGTCGACCTTAGCCAATTTGACCAGTTTTGGTTTCCGAATTTCCCCTAACTTAAGGCTTTTGCTTCTAAAATTCTGCGTGTTTGGGACAATGTACATCGAGGAGCAGTGCTTTTTTATAATTAATGTCAGTAAATCAAAAGTATGTCTCAGCTTACAGAGACCCACCCGAACAGCATGCTCAAGATTGCTACAGCACAGACCTTGACTCCAGAGTTCAGACCTTGACTCCAGAGTTGGATGCACTAATTCAGAGTAAGAGGTGCCAGTTATCAAAGACTCGTAAATAAAGATATTACAGTAAAAGTGTTTGTGTTTTAAGCATGTTTGTGTACTTTCAGTAAAAATTTATATCGTTCACTGGGTTTTCCTGCGTCCTTTATAGAGTTAACATCTCCATTACCTGGCATTACATTTTATGGCACACATGGCCTGACAAAGTGAGATTGAAGTCAGGTTTACTTTAGCTTCTCCCCCTCAGCTTGAGGGAGGCCACGTGGTAATCCCTCCACTGCCGTCACCATCACACATTTAATAAAATTCCCCCCCTTTCTGCAAAGATGATAATGGTGAAGCTTAGGTGGGCATCCCCCGCCATCTCCCCCCCCCCCGCAGGGAACAGAAAGGAACCCTCCCCCATGGCTGCTCCAGCAGCCCCCTCTCCTTTCACAATGCATTCCATTGTGGGCAATTTGCTATCCTGGTCGTGCCTGAACATGGACTGTGTCCACCTGTTCTGTTTGCTCCTGGGATCCTCCTGCCTCTGTGCTTTAGACCCTGGAAATTTCTAGGGCAGTCTGGGAGGTATCTCTGCTGGAGTCTCTGTCCTGGCCTCAAACATGAGTCCCCTTGGGGCACTGGTGAGGATTTCTTTCTAGTGTCCTTTTCCTTCTTCAGACAGGAGACTGGCTCCACAGTTTACCCTGGAGGTAGAGGAAATATCCAGCAAAGCAGAACAGAGTCACAATTTTCTAAACCCACTGAAGTAAACTTTCCTGTGGACTGCAGTGTTAAAGAAGACTGACAGGGGTGATGGGGTGGGGAAACTTTCAATTTCTTTATTTTTTTTCTCTTTCCCCCTAAAATTAATAGTGAATGGATGCCACTGACAATGTAATTTTGGTTCAGTAATAATTGACGTTCAGGTAAGATGTTGGCTGCCACTTTGTGGAGCTGCCAAGACATTCGTGCCTCAGTTCAAGGGAGACTCCTCAGTTCTCTCTCTCGGGCCTGCGAAGAATTTAGCAGTTCCCTTCACGAAGCTCTGGGCCTCCTCTCTCACTCAGCAGGCCAGACTGACTGACATGTGGGAAAGAATTTTAAACAATATCTGACAACTTGACAAAGCCTTCCTTCATAATATCTCCTAACAGGGCATTTCTAATATACAATTTCTCTCTAGTTAGGCCTACCACATAAGTGCAAAGAAATTAGCAGTTTCCCTCAGTCCAGCTCTGGGTCGTCTCTCTATCCTGCTGAGGGGACAGGGGACTCCTGCAATGGGTGATACAGGAGCAATTTCATGAACTGTTCGGGCTCCAGGACCTTTTGCTCCCTGGGCTCTAAGGCCTACACCTTTAAAGAGAAATAAAATAATATGTTAGAAGATGACAGGGGGTAATGCGGAGTGGGTTTTATCCAGAGCTGAAACCTTGTTAATTAGGACAAAGAACAGCAGGGAAGAGACTAATTTTGAACGGCTTTGGAATCTTTAGCTTTGATTGCCCTGGGTTTCAAGGGCTTGGGAATGAGGTCCATGAAGAAGGGCCTTTCTTGCGATTCGCCCTTTTTGTGGGTGGAGCTCTCTGTAGGCGGAAACTTCACAAGCCGCTCCTTTTTGCCTTTTCTGAAACTGGTAAAAAGACTTCTGCATTGCAAAATCTTGGAGAAAAGAGGCAATCCTAAGTAAGGCAGTGTGACCAGCCAGCATCCTGAACTGGCAAATGGCTCTTTCCTAAGGTAGTTAGAAAACCGAAGTGGGACTCTCAGCGTGTGAGACTGAGCAAAGAAAGAAAAAAAGCTGAGAAAAACCCATCAAAACTTTAAACAAATGGATAAGGATTAAAAACATTATTATTATTATTATTATTATATCACTCTTAGTGTCTTGGATATTATTCCATCTAACTTTGCTATGTTAACTATACCCATTCACTTGAACTCCTCTGAAACCTGGCCGTGACAGCTTCCATATTAGTGTGCTCACAGGCACTAAGAAATCGGGATCTAAAGAGACAGTTATGCAGAACTACAAACTTAAATGAAACATTCTGTAGAACAACAAAGCCTCTCAATATACAAAATGAATACAAACGTATCAAAAATACAGAAGACCTTATCCATAGAAATCTCCTCTGGCTGGACCTCCGTGTGAGAGATTACGATCTGGAATGGCACCCACATCCTGTCTCTCTTGGACCACGATAAAGGGAACTGGTACCGATTTTCTCAGTCCCGTTCAGCAGAGTATGGGAACTTAACACGTTTGCATCATAGTTCTGAAACTCAGTTTGTCTCAGTAGATAACATTAAACCTGTTTCCAAATGTTATAACATTCCTGCAGAGCAGAAATCCTCTCCTCTCATATCCTCATATCCTCCTTGGCAGGAGACGACAATTGAACTGACAAAGTTAAATTCATACAGGTCCACTGAAGTGTTTTTCAATTTTTGTCAGGGAATAAGTTACTGGTTATT